AGGTTTAGAGTTATTATCTACTCTCTAAAGAAACAAAAACATGGAATTTGTGTAGAAAACATAAGGAAGAGATCAGCACATTGGTGATGGAGACAAATACATGGGAAAGTCTGTTAATCATGGAACTAGGGCTAACCAAGGTTATCACACACAATGGCTGAGACTTTTATGGTAACAGAACTTTGAAGTGTTGAAAGCTGTTCAAAAAAAGTAATCAAAATGCAGGCTAAAAGCAAAAAACAAAGTTATTTCTGGTCTTAAGGCTTTCAAGTTTCATGTATTTTTATGTGAAAACTATTTTTTAAGTTATGCAAAAATGTCTGGAGCTATAGGTATTTCTGTCATGTCTAAAAAAAGTCTACATGAATAATGACAAATACAAACCACTCCCTATTTTCTAACAGATACATTTAACCTTGTCCAAAGTTTAAAGTGATTTTTTTTTGCCTTGAAGTAAAATAATTTTTTTGCGTATGTTCAGTACTGTCTAGCAAACTTTACTTGTGCATTTACTTGTTTACATTTAAAATACAAAGGCACAAACATTGTAAGAGACTGAGGATTTTCAGCTTTTTCTGATATTGTCTGGAGGAGAGGGAAAAAATTTGCATTTCTCCTAGATTTTAGGTAAGATATTATCATTGATCAAGACATACTACACTAGCCCAAATAAGCTTATAAGAAGGAATATATCAGCTATTAACTAATTTCAGAATTTACCCTGTGGATTAAGTAAAGCTGACAGAATACTGCCAAATAATTTCCAGGCACATGTGCATTTTAACTACTTCAGGTAGGTAATTAAATACATTAAAAAGCAACAAATTTATATATTAGATTCTTCAAAGTAATTAAAATGCCACAACAAAACCCACGACAAATAGAAACCACATTTGCTGTGACTATGCTTTATGTCTTTTGCTTCATTTCCCCTTTAACTTTTAAGTAATGTACAAATGTATGGGCAAGAATATGTGGTTATAACAGAGGGTTTTCACAGCAGGCACCAAACCTGATTTTTCAGTTTGTGTCAGCCAACCAGCAAAAAAAAACTTTGCCAGACCGTTGCCTGTGTGACCAAACATTGGGCTGGAGCTGGAACGTCAGCTCTTCTCAGGAGTCTGCATGTGCAGGTCCTGTAGGAGAAATGAGTTTGTTTTAGGCTACCTCAGTTGCGTACTGCTAGCAGTAGCTCCGCAGCAGCACAAAGCTCAGTTTAGGCAAGCTGTCGGCCTGCTCGCTTTGGGCCTTCAGGACATTTTTCGGCCTCTGTTGAGCTACACTGCTCCTGGTTTGCAGCCACTGTGCAATAAGGTGATCTAGTCGAAAGTGATATTGAGGATAACAGTACAAGGAGGAGTCTCACCCTCATTTGTACTATAGATCTTTTAATCATTTGTACTATAGATCTTTTAATAGCTAAAAATTAAAGAATCAGTAATCTGGAAAATTATTCAAATAACTGTCCAGCAGAACTCTTTTCATTTGAACAACTAGTATATGAAATAATGTGAATAAATTTTTCTGAGTACTTTCTTTGGTAAATATTTATGTTGACACACACCAGTGAAGCATTTCAGATATTTCTACTCAAAATCAGTAACAATACCCCAAAATAGAACATCTGGTACTTCTTCCTCTGTCTGGGACACTCTGTGTTTTCTTAAATGGCTTGATTTATTTCATGTATTTTTCATTTTCTTGTGTGGGATTTGGGGGGGGGGGGGGTCTTGAAAATAATAACAGTGTCGTGAATACGTTCTTATCATGGAAAGGTATTTTTAAAGAAGGAATGGTCAATGATGCATTTGCTAAGAATAATTATCATCCAGTACCGAATAAGCTACGAACATGAGGAGTCTTCTGGAGCAGGTCACCAGGGGCCATCCTCGTCTCTCCTAACGGTCATGGACGCTGCCTCTTAGCCTCAGTACAGAGGACAGAGATTCAGCTTCCTCCAGTTTTAGGTTAGGTTTATCCTGCCATTTGTTTGTACTCTTGTTAGACTAGATGTTAGTGGTCTCTTAGAAATTACAGGCTTATAATGAATTTGTTTTTTCCACAGACTGGCTAGGACTGGAAATTGAAGGGTGCAGAATTTCTCATTTAGGTTGTCAAGGTTGTAAATATAAACTGGGGTCCAGCTGTGCAAGATACAGCAAGGGAAGGAAAAGTAGGTGAAAAATACTGGCTATAGCAGCTGACTGGGCTGGAATAACGGGATGACAGACTGGGGCTGCTATATTGCTCAACACAGCCACCCAGAAAGCACTGCCTAGATCTACCTGTGAGACACGTTCCTAACACATAGCTAAACCCAAAATATGTCTTAAAGTTGCTTGTAAGGTGATACAAAGGAACCATAGTGAAAGTCACACCGGTAGCTTTGGACCAGGACAGGTGGAAAGGTCATCCTTCCCTGGAGAAATGGATACAGCTTTTATCTATGTTAAAATGAATTTATTGAGAGTGAAAATATAATTTCAACATACAAGATAATTTTTAAGTGCTTATGCAGATGGAATGTACCGAAAATAAACCTGTGTTCTTTGGCATTCTTTGGCATGCAGTCCCTTAGTATTCCTTTTTAATGAAACCTAATGAGCAGCAGCTTCTGTAGCTGGCTACTACTGCCAAGTGACAAGTATTAATACTTCTGTTTACTAAACATAAACTATGTACTGTGGATAAAGTTGACTGCGACAGAACAGAACAGTGCACAAACTCGGTACCAGCTCAGTTCAGCTGCATAGGTAAAAGCGGTCACTGTTGCACTGTGCAATTCCGTTCTCATTACGTGGATCTAGGTGGGACATGAAAGTAACTGGGGATTAGTCACAAAAGACATAGGAACAGGTAGAAGTCATTTCTTCCTGCTCTCTTGCTGCTTGTTTCTCTGAAGTTCCCTTTCAAGCTGAACCAAAAGGTGAAGGAAGTCCACTTCAGTATGAGCAACCTAAAATCAAATCTCAGCCGAGATTAAGTTGCAGGAATAATGAAGGTGTCAAATGCTCAGAAAAATGGCTTCTAATCTAAGCTAAATAATGATGTCATGGTCTTGCAGACCGGCACAAGTTATTTTCAAATTTGACATTCGATATGTTTTTTAAGGTAAAGGCTTACCCTTTTTTTTTCTCATGCTCTACCTATAGCACTTGTGGTTTTGTTTTGTGTTTTGAAGTTCAAGCTAGCGACCAGCTGGAAATGGGTTTAGAGCTCCCTGACCACCGTTCGAAGCAACTGGGGCAGCTACTTGGGACTGAAAATTATTTGATTTGACAGGGTATCAGGAAGATATTTTCAAAATAACAAGTCAGACTCCTACCTCCAGACAAACAGGACAGCATGGGAAGAGAGGTCTGGAGCACGGATTTGTATGCCTGCAGTCATGATGTACACGCAGTGCCAGAGGCTGTCAGTGACTTCTCCCCAGTCTCAGAGGCTGATGTTTCTATTGCCCAGACCACAGTGACGTTCATTTTCCTTGACCTATTTATAATCCAGCAGGGGAACGAAGCACCTGATTTGGAATTTCGACAACTAACCAGGGCACCCAGAGAAATTCAGAAAAAATGTGCTTCTCGGCCATCTGGAAGTACCTTCACAAGGCCACCAGCGAAACAAGCACCTACGCTAAGATTTTTATGTTACTCAACTGCAGCGACAAGGTACTTTCCTCATTCCTAAGAAGTTTGTTACATGACACAACTTAGGTGCCTGATTCCTTCAGTTAGCAGGGAGGTCACGCAGCAGGACGACCCACTCACAGAGAGAAACAAGGAAGGCTCCACCAGGGTGATGCCAGTTATTTCTCTTTGGAAATTGCCTTGACAAATCCAGAACAAGACAAGATTTTTGTATATACTTGCAGTGCACAGTTTGGGGCACGGCGATGAAGAACGAGGACATCTAGCCAGCTCCAAGAGCAGGCCCTGGGGAGGCTGTCAGGCAGAAGTGGTTCAGCGCGTGGGTGGCTCTTTGCAGCAGGACAGGCTAGCAGCCCGTTTTCTCTGTGCCGCTGCGTCACCTTTTTATTTCCACCCGGGTTTTTAAAAACAACCAAGATACCCTTTGATGTGACAGCGTGCCGCGCGGCAGCAGGATTTCTCTCCTTTCCTGCCTTAGGGCTGCCCCGCACTTGAAGGGCACAGAGGGCAGGGTGAACGAAAAGGGGGCGACAAGGGAGGCGGCGTGGCCCAAGGCTCACTCGCTGGAGGAAACCTCCTGAGCTCGGCACAGGCCCCGCGCGACCCCCGGCGGGCGGCCGTTAGCGGGCGGCCG